CCCCAAAACCCCAAAACCCCAAAACCCCAAAACCCCTCTCATACAAAGCCTCGTTGAACGATTTTTACAAAATTTAAGAAAACTTATAATTACTTCATCCTGATCTTCCCTTTTGAGCTATCCCTTTCTTCTATCTTCTCAAGCTCTTGCATCAGACTAAACTTATCATATCTTGACTCCTTCTGTTTCTTATTCTTAGTTGGGCTAAAGTCCCTTTGTATTCTCTTTTTCCAATACTCTTTCTGCCTTTGCTTGATCTTGAGCCTATAGAGATGAATCACAAGGGCTTACCCAAGAAGATAATTCGGTGAAATACTCTGACCCCATTCAGTAGAATTTTTAGCAATATCCTTGTTCTTAGCCAACTCTTCGAAGTCTTTGGAGAAGTAGTGGAACGCAGGGTCCATCCCTTCGTTTAGGTTGTCAATCTCTCTATTAGGTTATAAAGAAGTCTTACCTTGCAAGGAGCTCTTTCGAGATTGCAGCTTTGGATTTAACTTTCCCAGTGTTCATAGAGTATTTCGAAGATGTTTGGCCTGAATCCATCACGTTAATATTAATCAACAAGTCTGAAGTATCATTCTGGAAATAGTCAATATCCTGGTCAGCCTCAAGGTTCTTGGGAGTAAAGTTCTTTCCAGCTTTTAGTTCTATCAGAGATCGGATCTTCTGTTTTGATTCAAGAGTCCTCTTTTCAGCAGAAGTCAAACCTGTACTCTCAGTTGCATAATCCTTTGTAGCCCTTCTGTTATTAAACTGGAGATTAAATGAGTTGATAGAATCCTTCACTGATACAGGAGTATGATCATCAGAATTCTTAACATTATACCTCCGTTTCTTAGGCTTATAATTATCAAAACTTTGCGTTAGTAATGTCTGATCTTCAAGATATCGTTCATATTTATGTACATTCTCTCGAGCAGGGTTTAAGCTAACATTCAAATTTTTCTTATAGCCCATTCTGAGTGGTCCAATTTGACCGTCTCCTTGGGCCCCAATAGAGTCAAGCAATTTTAGGCGATTATAAAGCTCAATTTGCCTATTTTTCTTTATTGCAGTATCAAACTTCTTCCGCTCAGCAGATGCTGACATCTCTATCCTTCGAAGAGTGATCTTCTTCTTAAGTGTGTTCTTCTTGGTACTCTTAATATCGTTGATACTTGACATCTCAAAGCTATCTCTCTGGCTTCCTTTGAGGGTGATAGGAGGAAGCCTGCTTCCAGAAGAATCTCTGCACACCCCAGAGTTTTTCGAGGAGCTCTTTGAGAACTTCTTTGGCTTAGGCCTCTTGACTGGTGACAGGGAAGTAGAATACTTTTTCTCTATAGTTTGCTTGTTTTTCAATATTCTCTGCTATAATTTCTCATAATTTTATCTTACCCGTTTCTCTAGAAATGAATGATCAAGCAGTGACTGTAAGTTCTCTCTGTTTTTAATATTCTCGAGAATATTGAATTTCAGCTTTTTACGATTCGACAGATCCTTATCCTCATCCGTATCTAGATTTGAATTACGGGAGATAGAACTGGTGTTTTGGACAAGCATTGCTAATCTCTCTGCATGGAAAGGTTAGTCGGTAAAAATTGAGCCTTAAAGTCTAAATACTTACCTTGCTTCTCCTCTTCCATTAATCTCTGCTGTTCTTCCATCTCTTTATGCTGTTCTTCGAGCTGTCGCTGCTCCTCTTCTTCTTGTCTCTTTTTCTCTTCAGCTTTCTTACGATTTTCTTCTTCCCTTTTAAGTTTTTCTTCAAGGAATTTCTGAGCTAATGCTTCATTTTCTCTTTGCTTGACGTTCATTATCTTATTTTCGTCTTAATTCATTCTTGAGCTTTTCTTTGTTTAACTTATTTTCGAGCCTCTTCTTCCAATTCTCTCTTTCTGTTTTGTTCCTCTATTTGTCTCTTTTTATCCATTATATTGCCCTATTTTGTTCTAACTTAAGCTTTTCCATTTGAAGTTCTTCTTCTATTTCTTGTTGCCTAAAGGAATTGTAATATAACTTACTTTTCCATTTGTTTTAGTATATATTCTTTGTCCTTTATCTCTTTAAGCTTCGCACTATCTTTGTATAATTTGGCTTCCTCTTTTTCTTTACGGATCATTTCAAATAGCTTTTTACGATTTTGCTTATAATTCTTGGTCGCCATTGGGCCTTGAGGGTAAATCATTATTGTTATTACAATTTTTTAGAAATTTTTGGGGTTTTGGGGTTTTGGGGTTTTGGGGTTTTGGGGTTTTGGGG